AATAGGTTAAGTTTAATAAAACTACCCAGCCATGAAAATAAATGAAAATGTCAAGTTACTTATCCTCCTTTTTGTTATTGTTGTTGTTATATTTGGAGATGAGAGAGGGGAAGAGAATGTCTTCAGCTTCTACCCTGACCACAGTTAAAGCCCTTATTCAGCAAAGTATTTAAACATATGCCTACCTTTAAACCCACACTTAAATCCTTTGCTAAATAGGAATGGGATTACCTACGTATTTAAAATTAAGCATGTACTCAAGTACAAATACCTAGAAGAGTACCCATCTCAGAGGCACTACTGAAAGCATCTCATTGGGAAACAGCACAGACCTCATCACTTATGTATTTTAGATCAAGGATTGCAAAATGCTCACAAAACAACTTTTTTTCCTTTTATGTTAGTTGGGTCTGGGTCAGTATGAACTTGGAAATTACATCCATTTTCTAATAAGAACCACACTTTGTCCTGCCTCTCTGCACACTGATTTACATCTTCACATGCTGAGCCACCTGGCTATTATCAGAACATTTTAAGGAAGGGTAATACTCTCCCTATGATCACTTAGCTGCACTGATGACTTTATTAATAATAGAGAAGGGAAGAAACCCACCAGACAGTGATAACACCACAGACGCAGAACTAACTCAAATGAAAATCCTGCAAAGTTTTCTAGGAGAAATTAGTGATTGCTTAAACTTTGAATCTCTCCTTTCTCTAGTAGGCATACAAAAATAAGAGCCAGACAGAAAAAAAAGTGTTTTCCTTGTGGGTCTTTTCATCCTTCTCACCTACTTCTTTCTTTATGGTGCCACACTCATGATTGACTGCTGAGAGTTTCCACATGCGTAGCTCACCGAAGATTTTTGCACTTTTCAGTTATTAGACAGAGATTTAGGCTACTACGAAGCAAATCAGATTATGAAAGTGGCATTGTTAGGTTGTTTATAGACACATACACACAACAGTATGTCAGATTTTAAAAATAATCAACAACAATTGCGTTGCATTACCGAACATATTCAAGGAGAATAAAAGAAGTGGAGATGATACAATGAGAAGTCCTGGGTGATCTTCCCCTTGCTGTAGTTCAGGGTCAGCAACGTTGTCACGCAGCTCGCCAGGGTGCTTACCCTGGCGAGCCGCATGCCGAACGTTGCCGACCCCTGCTTTGCCAGTCACAATCTCAGCTGCTAAATTTTAAACATTTATATCTTTTCTTACCAAATTCCTCCCCCACCCCCCAAAAGAGAGGAGGGGCTTTCAATCAACTGGCAAACTGAATATCAGACAGTCCTTGGAATCTCCTCCTATACCTGCTTCACAAAGCAATGAAGAACATGGACCTGGATTACTACACTGCATTCTATTTGGAAACATCAGCTAGTGCAAAATGCAGCTGTCCTCTTACACAGCCAAGTTACTGCCAGGAAGCAGGCGACCCCTATGTTCCAGAGTGAACTGGCTCTTAGTGTATAATCTACACAGCAACTGGGAGCATACCTCCCAGCTTGGGTAGACAAACACACACTAGCTGTGCTCGAGGCAGCTTGCTAAAAACAGCAGTATGGCCAAGGTGGCACAGACCGCTGCTTGAGCTAGCCACCCGCATACATACTCCGGGGGTTGGGCAGATTCATACTCCTGCAGCTAGCCCAAGGAGCTGCCTGTGCCACCCCAGCCACACTGCTATTTTTAGTGCACTAGGTTGAGCAAAGCTAGCATGTTTGTTTACCCATCCTGGGAAGCACATTCCTTTAGAGGTCATCTCTCCCTTTGCATGATAACATGGCCACTGAGGTTAGCTGAGGCTCTCAAGCTACCAATGGCCAGAATTAAACATGAAAGGGCTACTGGCAAACCATTCTCAATGAAGGGACCTTGAATCTGGAATTCACTCCCACCACTGCTCTAAGAGACAGCTGGCTTTCAAGGCCGACCTATTTTCCTAGCTGTTTTCAGAAGGGGATGGATCATTATTTGGTCACTGATTTGTACCCTGCAAATTAGAGAGATGCATTTAAAATGTCTAATAAATAGATACTTAGCAAATGTGGATGAGCTCCAGTAACAGAGGATCCTAATGGGATGTTTTGGAAAATATTACTGCCTCGGGCAATAGATTATTCCATTTTCACTAGGAGAAAGGCCAGGTTTATTTTGCAAACCTTATTTATAGATAAAACAAAGGTGCGCAGGGGTGATTTATGACTTATTCATCACACTCCCAGAAAGATCCCACTTCATTTTAGTGGGCTGTCTGTTCTAATCCAGTTCTGTCTTTCACTCTTGAAGAATCTGTGCTTACACCTCTCATATCAAGAGAGATGATGCAGGGACCAGTTAACATAAGAAAGCAACAACTCTCCAGGAATCCAGGGGTTATAAGAAAGAAAATGTTCAGGCTGTTTTCATGAAGAACTGCAACAGCTTAAAAAGGAAAAGCTTTTTTCATAAACAGGGAGGAATCAAGGGACGGAGAGAGAGGAATCATGGGATTTTTTTTAAATTTGACCACGTCCCAGAATTCCACTGGCTTCCACTAAGCATCTCTCAACACGCAGTGAGAAAAATCCGAGAACATACACAGCTCAGCAGCAAAGCAAAAAGGACCAAAGGATAACATCAGAGAATACAACACACTTAGTACACGTCAAGCCCACGCCATGTATCCAATGGATATGTCTACACAGCAAGCGGCAGTGAGTCTCCAAGCCCAGGTCAACAGACTCAGGCTGATAGGACTTGTGCTACCTCACTAAAAATAGCTGTGCGGATGCTGGGGCTGGAGCTTGGACTCTGGAGCCTATCCCCCTCTCTAGGCTCCAAAGCCCAAGTTGCAACATCTACACAGCTATTTTTAATCACAGTAACATGAGCCCAAGTCTGTTGACCTGTGTGCAGGTTATTCGTATGGCTTACATATTGCATGCCAACTAGTGTCAATTCAGTGCAAACTAACCCCTCCATGTACACAAGGCCTTAATTCTCTTTGGGGCAGGGACTGTCTTTTTTGTATTATTTGTTTTAACACAAAGGGGTCCTGGTCCTACAACTAAGGTTCGTAGGCACTACGGTAGTACAAATAATAATATATCCACAGGTGTCATGTCCTCACTAGTCCGGCTAAGAGGGGGATTCAGTATCTTGTTGCTGAAGCTAAGTAATGCTTTAAGGAAATAATATGGATAACAGGAATTCAGATCATATTGGTAGCATAATTGAAATTTGGTCTTTTATTTTCACAGGTGAACTACAAGGCCATCACAAAGCCTCTTGTCTTAGGTCAGAATCACTTTCCAGGGAAAAACAGTAACACTAGGGGGATACTGCCAGAAATCCAAGGACTCAGAACTTTTAGTTTTCACTCCAACAGAGATCTGACACTCCAATACTTGAACCGATTGTGAAATATTCCTCAAGTACACTGCGCGGCTGTTGTAATAGCTTTATTTCCCCATTTTTACTAAATTACCAGCTCTACTCCTATTTGGGTAATAACAGTACTTACGGTACTTGCTGCAAGCTATACAACCGAGTTTTGAGTGATGTAATTTTCTTGACTGCATCCTGTCTTTCTTGACTATCCTGTTATGTTGCTAACCATCTAAACATTTAGGAGAGTTTCACCTTATTTCATGGTTAACTAACCACATTATAGGATTGATCCATTTATTCCAACTTTAATTCAGTATACAGGCACGGGTGTGTGGGTATAAGAGAATTATGGGGACTGAACATTGTCACAGAATGATTCATATATCAAAAGATCACTTGGGAAAGCGGGTGTAACGCCTATCACCATGACCCCATATTATTCCCAGATGATGGGTATTAAATGAAAGCTTAATGCAGAGTTTCTTTTCCCCCTCTCTCTCTACTTTAACATGGTGTTGATAGAAAATTTTGAAACTTGTGTGATGGAAGATTAATTTCAACGACTTCAGCAACATATATCACAAGACTGACTTTCAGCTTTGAGAATTATTCTCCCCCATCTCCTAAAATAACAACAACAACAATAGTAGCAGTAATAATAATGGAGAACAAAGACATTACGCCCAATAACATGCACTGGTGTTTAATAACATTAACACAATTCATGGCATTGGGCAACTGAATGCAGATTTAAAAGGAGTCTAAAAATTCAGAGCAGAAAAGGAAAGTTAATGACAGAAGAGCTTAAGATGACAAGATATCAAGATAATAAAAATTGATAACAATATAGATTAAGTGTGCAACTGGTTAAAACTTTTTCTCCTGCTTTGACAAACTTTCCACTCAAAGCAAACAGATTAAATAAGTGTTATCAGCCTTGGCTTTCAAAACTAGATCTCTCAATATACTGTTATTTTTGATAACTTCTAGTTCTCCAAAACATTCTTGTAAAGCACTTCAATAAAGAAAATAACGTGAAAACACATACATGATTGGTCACTTGGGACTAGTCAGTATGTCTTCACAAACCTCTCATTTTGTTTTTAAACACACAAGTTAATTTCAGTCCAGACCTTCAGGGTTACATATCTTTTCCATAAATAATGATATTTTATTCTATAGAATCAGCATGGTTTGTTTTAAGCAAAAACTGGTAGAGAATATTATTTAATAGAAAGAAAAACAAAAAACCTCACCCAAACTCCCAATATCAGCTTTCCACTGGGGGATCTGGCACTTGTGCAAGGAAAAACTTCTTCATTTGTGTTTGCATAAGGTTTAACTCTAACACTGTTACAAAAAATGACGTGACAGCTGTAAACAGAAGACTGTGCAACAAAAACAGAAATGAGAATATCACATGACTATTGCATTTCCCATAAACCTTGAGGTCCTGTCCAACCCTTTCCAGCAACAAAGGCAAAAATAAAGAGTTAACAACAAAAACTGCACCTAATTGGGGGTACTTGGATTCGTGTTATTCAAATAACTATGCACAATACAGGCAAGGATGCTGCAGGGGACAGAAAGCCAACACAGAAACTCAGAAAAATTATTCTTACTCTGTCAAAATCTGATGTAGCTTCTGATAGCCCCGCTCCAAGGCCAAGCTCACAGGTGTAGCCCCTTCGTTGTTGTGGATGCAAAGAGCTCCTCTTCCACCTGGCTGCTGTAGCAGAAACCATGTCAACCTCAGAAGGCCCAGCCTCACTGCAAAATGCAACAACGTCTCCCGGGGGCTACTCTCTGGGAAGAAAGAAAAAAGAAAATGAAACGTGCAGATTATGGATTAGATGAATGCCACTTCCCCACATCCTAGCTACTGGAGTTGAGCCACACTGATGCAAAATACAGTACAATGGTTGGCACAAAACTAGCAGTCTCTCAGAGCCAAAAAGCCAGGCAACCCAAACACTGAAGCACCTGGAAAAACATATGCAAAGACTGGCTGATCACATTCAGGGGAGGCTTGCACTTCAGAGCGAGGGGATCACCACAGTGTAGGGCCCTACCAAATTCACGGCCATAAAAAGGGCATTCCGGACTGTGAAATCTGGTCTTGTGTGCTTTTACCCTATACTATACAGATTTTACGGGAGAGACCAGCATTTCTCAAATTGGGGGTCCTGACCGAAAAGGGAATTGCAGGGGTGTTGCAAGGTTATTTTAGGGGGGGGGGTCACAGTATTGCCACCCTTATTTCTGCGCTGCCTTCAGAGCTGGGCAGCTGGAGAGGGGCGGCTGTTGGTTGGGCATCCAGCTCTGAAGGCAGTGCCCCGCCAGGAGCAGTGCAGAAGTAAGGGTGGCAATACCATACCATGCCATCCTTACTTCTGCACTGCTGCCTTCAGAGCTGGGTGGCTGGAGAGTGGTGGCTGCTGACCAAGGGCTCAGCTCTGCAGGCAGCAATGCGGACGCAAGGGTGGCAATACCATTCTATGCCATCCTTATTTCTGCACTGCGGCTGGCAGCGACTCTGCCTTCAGAGCTGGGTTCCTGGACAGCAGCTGCCACTCTCCAGCTGCCCCGCTCTGAAGGCAGCGCCGCCACCAGCAGCAGCGCAAGAGTATGGGCAGCAGTATCGCAACCCCTCTACAATAACTTTGCGATCCTTTCACAACTCCTTTATAGGTCAGGAACCCTACAATTACAACACCATGACATTTCAGATTTAAATAGCTGAAATCATGACATTTACGATTTTTAAATTCCTATGACTGAAATTGACCAAAATGGACCATGAATTTGGTAGGGCCCTACCACAGTAATTTTAATAGAAGTTGTGAGTGCTCAGGACCTCTCAGGATCAGACCTACTGCAGAAGCAAATGAGAAAGGGTGTAGTTCCTAGATGGACTTGATATGTAGACTATTTAACTACCTCTAAATAGAAGCTCAGTAAGTTCAAGCAGGCTGTGTTTGTCTGTACGTACTGGTACTTTTCTCCCACATAAGACTGAATTAACTTTTTGGCACTGCCAAATTTGGTGTTTAAAACACAGATTCCTCCCTGGGCACAGCAAAAATGCTAAACTGAAGACATAAATCTGGAGCAGCTATAAAAAGAGGACAGTCTACACTTTCTCAAAGTAAAAAGTGAGGACTTTCTTTTTCTAATTTGATTAGGGCTTAGCCCAGCTTTTACAGTGCCCATGTCAGCAGACACAGCATTACACAGAAGCTGTATAATTCTGAGTAGCAGTATTTGTAAGATGGGTGTACTCCCTCCCCCCGCCCCCCGCCTTTTACATTTAACAACCATGGTCTTATAATTTGATTTAAAAAACCACTGTGTCTAAGCTTTCATCTCTGAAAAATAAACCCTTATTCAAAGAACTGAAGCCCTAGAACCTTGCTCTGAACAGCAACAACCAGAAATGAGCTCCAGATACACTGTGAAATACAGCAGTGTTTCCCAAACTTGGGACGCCGCTTGTTCAGGGAAAGCCCCTGGCGGGCCGGGCCAGTTTGTTTACCTGCCGCATCCGCAGGTCCGGCTGATCGCAGCTCCCAGTGGCCGCGGTTCACTGCTCCAGACCAATGGGAGCTGCTGAAAGCGGCGCGGGCCGAGGGACGTACTGGCCGCTGCTTCCAGCAGCTCCCATTAGCCTGGAGCGGCGAACCGCGGCCAGTGGGAGCCACGATAGGCCAGACCTGCGGACGCGGGAGATAAACAAACCAGCCCGGCCCACCAGGGGCTTTCCCTACACAAGTGGCGTCCCAAGTTTGGGAAACACTGAAATACAGTATTTGGAGATCAAAGCATTTGTGATATCTGTACCCAGAACATGGATATTTGGATTTTAAAATCTGCAAGAAGAGGTAAAAAAAAAAAACCCTAAACATTTGTTCTTGAAAATTAACAAAGGGTTTCAGCATTGACTGGTATAGCTTTAAAAGGCACCCTTTACACTGCAGTAAACCAACTGCATGAATAGATTCAGCGAAACACCCTGAATATTGTAGTAAAAATTTATACACTTATTATTTGGTCGACAACCAAACCAACAGATCAGGTTATAACGTGAGTGCATAATGCTTCTAAGATTTAATCAGGTCATTTCTCTCAAGCACATTTTTGAAGGATGCCACAGTACAAACTGCTAATTCCTTTGTTCAGCTGGGTTTTAAGGGACATCATTAAGGCATTTAGTCAAAAAACAAAACAGCGATTTCTCTGCTTTTTGCCATGTAGCTTTTGCTGAGTTTCTTGGCTGGCTCAGCTCCTGCAGAGCCTAATCTGTATTCAAGTACCAAAAGCTTCCTGGCACAGTCTACCATACAACTCCGAATTAGGGCTTTGCCAACCTGCTTTCTCCCTCCTCCCCTTCCCCCCACACCCACTACACACTACCCCAATCCCAGCCTCTTCCTGATTAGAGTAAAGGAAAATCATGTCTGAATGGTGGTTCCAGCTGATTACAGGAAGGACATAACCGAGCTTGCTTAGACAAAATATTTGTAGCCTGTGAAAGAGCGAAGAGAGGGACATTAGTAGAACATGCTACAGCATGGCACTTTATAGATGAATGAGAAGACAAGGTATCTTAAGTCAGGAAAAAAAATGGCCGACTGTCTGGGAAGGGAAACGGGGCCTGAGAGGAGACAATAGAAAAGTTGCTGTAGGAGGAACTTTTCCAGAGAGGAGAACAGTAGATTCAAAAATGATCTTCCTAGGGGCTTGTCTACACATAAATATTGTACCACTTTAACTGCACTAGTATAATAAAGCAAAACAATCCTCCTACCGTGGATGCAGTTACAGTGGTATAAAATCATATGAGTATAGCTTATTCCTGTACCAAATTGGGGCATCTATGCTACTTCTCTGAAGACAGTTTTTATCTGTTTTTTTTTTAAGAGTACAATTTTCAAAAACACCTAAGTGATTTAGGAGCCCAAGTCCCATTTTTAAAAATGACACTCTTCTTCCATACTTAAGTCTTTTTTGAAAATTGTACCCAACTTATTACAATACAAACCGTCTTCCAAGCAGCAAGTCACATAGAAGATCTTGGATTTGTGTGTTTCCTGTGTTTGGATACTACCCTTACACGCAAGGATCCATATACTGTATACTACACTAATGCTTCTGAGTACCAACATGAGGGAGTGCAGTCTTTTACCAGAAGAGATGGCACTTGCCGTGTCGAGCACATTAAACAAAAAAACTCACCATCCAGCCTCAGGGCCAGAGGATCTGACTACTGTGTGAACTGGCATCAAGCCATCCTAAGAGAGACAAGTATGAATGATGGCAGCCAAGAGACAAAGTACTGTACACGCAACAACTGTGAGTGCTCAGGGCAGGAGTCTGAGCGGAACACATTTTCAGCGACAGACGATACAGAACTTACATGGCTTGTGTTAAAAGGGATGTGCCATCTGTGAACTGGATTAACTTCCCAAAATAAAAACGCATCTGTCACTGTGACGGCTGCTCAAAGCAAGTTTATAGCCTGTTTGCATCAGACCTTGGGAGGAATGGGGAAAAAGGGGAAAGGCAAAAAAATGAAGCTATTTCTAACTTTTTTTTTTTTGCCCACCAACAAGGGAATCTTAGGGCACTGGACTTTAGAAATTCAGGCAGAGGTTTGTTTGAACAGGTTGGCATGGTGCAGAATGACCATCCCAAGCATGGAAGAGTTACACAACCTTTAGCATGGATTAGCTGTAGCTGTTTTCCATCATAAATGGCTGAAAGCAGAAATTTAGCAGGGGTCTGCAGAATCACCAAGCAGCCCATAAAGTGGTAACACAAAGCCCTTTGCAATTAGAGAATTACAGAAATAAAGTACATGCAATACTGGGAGGTCAAGGCTATTTTGTTCCTTCTATGTTTCCTAGTAATAGGCAAGGTTCAAAACATATGATTAGTGCCCCATAATGAAAGAGCACTTTAATCCAGCTGGCAAGGAATGCAAGATTTTAGAGTGCTGGGGTTTTTTGTTTTTTGTTTTTGGCAGTTGTGGCAGATAAATAAGCAGGCAGTTAAGCTGGGTAACTAAGGATCAACTTTCCACGGAAAACTGTCAAACTCACTTTGCTAACTGACAGGATTAAGGTTTAAGGTACTTTTAACCAGTAACAAATACCCACTGAGGAAGAAAACGCTTGAATATGACAGATCTGAGAACATACACGGTGTTCCCTGAACCAGGAGCTTCATTTTTAATGAACTTGATTGAAAGAAGGGGGAAAAAAACCACCCACGCTTCCCATGAAGAGGTACAGAGTGAGTGATTGTGGACTCCCCATCAAATCTGGCTTCCACCCCTGCACCCCTCCCTCTGTGGGAAGCTGCCCTCTCACCCAGCTCAAACCTCACATGTCAGTGGGACAGGGAAATGGAAACATGTTATCACAGATCAGTAAGTCCCAGGTGACCACCTGAACCGGCAACGTTAGAAGAGGAGGGTCAAGACAGAGGGACGTTGTGCCTTAAAGTGTTGAGAGATGAAACACCAACTCAGCTGAAAATAATTGATTTGTGGGTAATTTTTTTAATCTTATAAACTGTGATTTTCAAAGCAGCGTATGGGACTGAAATGCCTCAATTCCTACTTATTTTAAAGGGAATTAGGAGTGGCTTTGATATCTCAGTCACAGAATCTTTTATTGAGCAGTAGATTTTGGATGGATGGACTAGGGGGCAGAGACCACTTGTACAAAAAATAATTTTATTTTGCTTGCAACTTTCTAGTTCCCCGCTTTCTCCTCCCATTGCTGAAGATATCTTGCATTTTG